CAATTTTTAAGTAGTAGGTAACACTAGCAGGCATGAGATTAGATTGGGCATTCTCACACACTACCAACAGGAGTAAAAACTGGTATGTGGCACTCTGACATGTCAAGAGCTTGGAAACTGTCACTCCTGTCCTCACAACAAGAGCAAACTGAAAGCTGGTAATTCTTCTCAGACAATCGAGGTCACAGGGCCAAACACTGCCCCCAAAACAGGAGACAAGAAAATACAGAGAATCACAGCTTCCTGGAAACAGAAGGCACCAGACTGAGTAACTGTAGGAACACTTAAATAGTAACTTGACAAGCTGCTAAGGTTCAGTTTGAACTAGCTTGAGAGTTAAAAACTCATGGGGATCCAGTTTAGGGAAACCCCATTACTTTCATAAGTTTTACTCTCAGGAACCACCCCTGCCTTCCCCCCAGGTTTTCAAGGTGAGGATAAGACAAAAAGTCTCTTGAGCTTCAGCAAATGGAGGGAGAAAGTAATTATTTTGAAATAGGCCAGGGAAAAGTAGAGCAGTTCTGTTATCCAAAACAAAGAACTGCCCTCAAGGAAAACTACATTACTAGAGCCTTATCTGACCTAGGGGAAAGGTAATTAGAAGATTTCAGCCCTATCTAGCTAAGAAACACCTTAGAAGGTCACAGCTCAGAGATGTAGGGGCCCTAAAAAGCCTGAGATTTAATCATAAGATTGTAGAATGCTTCCTCTCTCCAACACCTTACAGTCACTACAACAAAGTTACAGAATTATATTAGTGGACTAACACTGAGCAAGCTGCAAGATACAGATTCTACTAAGAAAAAATTTCTAAGGAAACCCAAAGACAACAGGGGAGACAAAAGAAATGGGAACTAGAAGAAACTGAAGCTTCTGACATGTACAACCATAGCAACCATTAAACGTAGCCCAGCTCCTAGACAAAATCTCACACTAAAAGCCAATTTACTTCAGATCCTATTATCAAGATACATCCTGTCCAGCTTTCAACAAAAAATTACTAGGCATAAGAAAAAATACAGGCTGAGATACAACACAAGCATCAGAAGCAGACTGAGAAATGACAGAGATTTTGGAAGTATCAAACCACTAATTCAAATAACTATGTTTAATATGCTAAGGACTCTAATGGAAAAAGGATAAAATGCAAGAATAGACAGACAAAGAAAGGAAAGATGGAAACTCTACAAAAGAATCAAAAGGAAATGCTAGAAATAAAGTGATGGGCTCCATTAGCAGACTAGACTTGGCTAAAGATAGAAGCAGTGAACTTGAAGAGACATGATTATGACATAGATTATGTCAATACTTTCCAAACTAAAATGCAAAGAGAAATAAAAAAAGAACAGAAAATCCAAGAAGTGTGAGGCAATCACAAAAAGTATATCATATAGGTAATGGGAATACCAGAGGAGAGAAAGAAAGATATGCAAAGAACTCTTAAAATTCAATGAGAAGAAAACAAACAACCCACTTTAAAAATGGGCTCAATGTCTGAACAGATATCTCATCAAAGAAAATATACAAATGGAAAATAAGTATATGAATATGAAAAGATCCTCAATGTCAAATGTCGCTAGGGAGTTATAATGTAAAATAATTAGCTACCACTATACACATATTACAATGGCCAAAATCCAGAACACTGACAATACCAAATGGAAAGGAGTATCTGGAGCAAGAGGAATATTCTGTCATTGCTGGTAGGAATGCAAAATGGTATAGCCATTGGCAGGTTTCTACAAAACTGAACATACTCTTATATGATCCAGCAGTTACACTCCTAAGTATTTACCCAAATGAGGTGAAAACTTATGTCCACACAAAACCTGCACATGAATGTTTTTAGCAGCTTTATTCATAAGTGCTCCAAAATGAAAGCAACTAAGATTGCTTCAATAGGTGAATAAACAAACTGGTACATCCATACAATGGATTACTATTCAGTGCTAAAAAGAAATGAGCGATCAAACCACAAAAAGACACAAGGGATCATAAATCCTTATTTCCAAGTAAAAGAAGCCAGTCAGAGAAGGCTACAGTATGACTCTAACCATATAACATTCTGGGGTTCAGTGGGAGATAGAAAGAGGTGGGATATAGGGCACTTTAAGGACAGTGAAATTCTTCTGTATGATATGGTAATAATAGACACATGACAGTATGCATTCATCAAAACCCAGAGAATGCACAACACAGAATTAATCTTAACATAAACTAAGCATGTTAGTTAATAGTAATGTATCAATCTTGGTTTGACAACTGTAACAGATATGCTATACCAATGCTCTGTTACTAGGGAAAATGGTGTGCAGGGGAGAAGGGGTATGAGAACACGGTACTATCTGCTCAGTTTTTCTGTAAACCTAACAAAGGTTCTAAGAAATATACTTTATTAAATAAAACCACCACCAAAACAAACTGGTATGAAGAACTCTCCGGAAAGAAAAATTATTCATTACCTTTGCCTCAGGGACTCTGCTCCTAAGACTCTATCCCAAAGAAATAAAAAATGAAAAAACAGCCTTGTCTAAAAGATATTTCACTGTACCATTATTTATCACAACCCAAATAATTAAGAAATGCTTAAATAAGTTATTGGATAGCTACATGATGAAATATTATATGACTACTAGTTAATGATAGGAAAATTATCACAATAAAAGAATAGTAAGTTGTATTTACAGTATAACTATGTTGCTATAATAACGGGTGTGAGAAATACCTATTATATATGTGTAGCTAAATAAAATCTGAAAAGCTATACCCTATCTTATCTGAATGGCAGAATTACAGATGAGTTTTATTTTCTAACAACAAACACTTTCTAGCAACATGTATTATTTGTATAATAAAAAGGTAACAAGAAATGTAACGTAACATAAAGCTTAGAAGTTAAGCAAAGCCCTGGAATTGAGTTTAAAAAACGTGGATTTTCCTAATTGGTTCCCCATTATTGCCATATGTCAGAAGCAAGGGAGACCTCCCTCTGGGGGAAGCATTTTGTCTTATTCATTCCTCTATTCTCAGTGACCTAGGGCCTGGAATATAGCACAGGTTCAAACAAGCATGGGGTGCAGTGCACACATGGAAACCAAACACACATAACACTCTCCATTCTCATTCTCAAATCTATACAACACAATTTCCTTAAAATTACCAGAAAACTGAGGCTACTTCTATAATATAATTGGTAAATCTGTAACACAAAAAGGTCCTAGAGAGGACTGAAGCAATGAATTGATCCATCTATAAATCTATGAAGGGGTTTTACAACAAAAATCTTCAAAAAATTTGCTGCATTTTCTAGTATAACGTGAAACTATTTTATAAAAGATCAATATTTGAACACAGCATTTACAATTAATATAATTAAGCTTTATGATTTAAACAATCATTTATGTTGATTAAGGGGCTGAACTTTAAAATTGATCTTAAATACTTACGAAGGCACACCATTGAACTCGTCACAAGTTATAAATGGCATTTCCTTAATACTTCTTTGTTCTTTGGGGGGCTTCTTTATGGGTTCAGGTTCCACAGCTTTGTCTGGTTCTTCAGGATCAAGATCTGATCCCTTAACACTACAGAACAGGGATGTACATGCAAACAGGCAACTGTCAGAAATAAGCAGCATACTGCAAAGTTTTCCCAACTGAAAATAATATTAAATACATACTCATTCTGTTAAATCTTATTGTCAACATTTTTTTCTATCCCTACTTCTATTGTTCATGAAAATCTAAATGTTGAAGGAAATATTGAAAAATTAAGTTCCCAAATCTTCCATAATATAGTTGTATTTATTTACATGTAACATGATATTTTTATCAGCTGTCCCACTGGCTCCTCAAAGTCAGTAAGTTAACAGCTTTATGGCTTAATAGCTTCTCTTAACCCCTTAACAGCTTGTCTTCCTGACATTCCTAACTCTGAACCTAGAAACCTCAGTTATCTTAGACTTCTATTTATTCTAATTTATCCTGATGGTTGCTCATGTCAGTCCCTGTGTATTGCAGAGTCATTTTAGTTGCCAGCAATGATCATGGGTCACCCTTGGATTCCATCTGCCTAATTTTTAGAGCGAGTGAGAACCCTACTAATATAGCTCCTGCCCCAGTAGCAAACAAATTCTAGAAACACACTGTAGCTTCTAGGTTGCTTAACTGCCAGGGATGTTGCCAGCAACAAGTCAAGATATAGAAAAGACAACATCAGATACAAGAAAGAGTGGGAGGATAGACTCAGGAGCAAGCAAAGGGAATCCCCAGAAAGGCAGGAAGTGAGATCCCAAGATGACAGTCGAATGCTAGACACAGATGGCAGCCAGCCTTACTGACGTGGTGTGACGGCCATGCTGCAGGCTGTCAAGATAAAGATGCTCAATGCACCATAATCCTTCCAAAAATCCTAACATATGAGATTCTATCGTGAGACTGGCTGAATCGTACCTGTACTTGTCTGTCTTGACCATGCATTGAGGAAGCACCTGATTGCTCCCTTATACCCTGCTGTGTTTTATCAGCTGAAAATAACCATTTTGACCTACAGAAAGCTTCTGCTCTGATCTATCCCTGAGAGTTGAAGCTAGGCCATAGTGAGCTTAGAAGAAAACTCTTCCTATTCCCCCGACCAAATTCTTGCTGGATGTCCAGTGACAGGAAAGAGAGAGACAGCATAAAGATGCCAAGTCCCCGCCGAGGTGATGGGAGCAGCAGGTTCATGTGTAGGTAACAAGAGAGCCAGGCCTTGGAGATGCAAAGTTTGAGGAGAAAATGTAGGCCATTAAATCACTGGAACTAGATGTCCTTTCAAGTTGGACATGTGAGAGCATTAACAGTGGGGTTAAGTAAGCATGAGTAAAGCAGATAGGAGAGATCTATAATTTAAAAGAGGGGAGAGAAAAAGGAGGCAGCTAAGTCCGAGATGTGGGCTGACAACTAAGAAAGCACAGTGACAGTGCAGAAAACAGAATTTCAAAGACTAAAAGGTAGTATGCAAAATGAGATCTCAGAAGTAGAACCAGGTCTGAAGAGGGATTTTTGACCTCTTCATGACCTTCAAACAATCGATTTCCTAGGTGTGGTGGTAATGACAGCCAAAAGTCAGTTGTTAGGGCCTCAGGGAAAAAGACACAGCACAGACACACCTTGTAAATGAACAGAGAAAGAATAGACATTTCAGGGAAAAAAAGGGCTAAGCTTATTGTTCCTTTTTTTTGTGTATGTGGCAGGATCTCACTCTGTTGCCCAGACTGGAGTGCAGTGGCACCATCAGAAACCACCGCGACCCTGGCCTCCCAGGCTCAAGCAATCCTCCGGCGTCAGCTCCCTGAGTAGCTGGGACTACAGGCGTATGCCACTGTGTCTGGCTAATTTTTAGTATTTTTTGCAGAGATGGCATTTCACCATGTTGCCCAGGCTGGTCTCAAACTCCTGGGCTCAAGCAATCTTTCTGCCTCGGCTTCCTAAAATGCTAGGCGTGAGCCACTGTGTCCAGCCTCTTTGGCTATTTTTAAGATGGTAAGTTCCTTAAGCTTATTTTTACCCAAAGGCAGTGGTTCTCAAGTGTTGGTGGCAATGTCTGGAGATGGTTTTCATTGTCAGGAATGGTTGGGATAGGAGCAATGCTACCAGAACCTAGTGGGCAGAGATCAACAACACTACTCAATGTCCTATTCTCATAACAAAGAATTAACCTGCCTAAAATGTCAAGGAGGCTGAGGTTGATAAACTGCTCTAAGGGAAAGAAATGAGTGGAAAAAAGAGGCTAGAGAGACTTGCCCTTGGGAAACTAGGAAAGAGGTGTTAGATTTTCCTCAGAGACAGCAAGATAAGAAAACTGGTGAACATAGGAGGAAATACTGTTTTTAGTATAGGTGACAAAAACTAGATGATCACTGACAAAATTGCAAGTAAATCAAAGAGCAAAAGGCTTTGAAGTATTTTTCATGGGTTTATAAATCCAGATAGCAAGAATAATTATAAACACACTTACCAGCTCTGGGTGACTCTTACTTGTGGCAAATGGGAAGGAATGTTTTCTTTAAGATGTTCTACGTCTTTGTAATCTTCTTCAAGGGATTCACAGAGTTCCTAAAATTTAAAAATACTCACAAATAAGTCTCTGTCCTCCCCATGCATGTTTTAAGATATTCTAAAGAGCAGGGAAAACGGTGAACCATGATCACACTGACTGTGAGTACTGAAAATGCAGAATGAAGTGAAAAAGCAATGAATCCAGCAATATAAAATTGGTTTCTAGAGCTATTTTTGGATGGTGGTCATATTTTTCCCTACTGGATTTTTTTCAGAGAATGATCACTATAATCACATTGCAATTACAAAGCAGGACTGAAGTTAAATCTTTCTCAAATACTTTAATCTTGGGAGACAACTAAGAAATATATAAAAAGTTTTTCATTCCATAAAATTGCTTTTGTTGGCTTAGCCAATGCTCCCTGGTGTTATCTGTATAACAGCATCTGTGTTATCACAGCGTGGTAATATAGCTGGCAAGCATGAGATACTGCTTTGGGATGACTTCCACTGCGGGCTACCTACATCCCCGCTTCATGAAAATTTCTATTTGATAGCTGGGGTTTTTGGTCTCTAACTTTTACCAGAACTTGAGGCTGTTGTATTTGACCGAGTGTAGAAAGTTATTACCAAGACAAAAGTATGCCAGATTGCAGGGTCATTTATTATGCCAGCAACCACAGAGGACTCACGTCTCTCCAACCTGTGGTGCCAAAAGGAGGGTGCCATGATTTTTTATACCCGAAAAACCACCTTGGGAGTGGGAGTGAGGGGCGGGGATGGGGATGAAAAGGTTTCGGACATTCCAAGGGCTAGGGGATTCTGTGATTCACCTCCTGGGTGGAGACAAGGGCGGGGGTGTCTGGACATTCCAAGGGCCAGGGGACTTTTGTCATTCTGTTTGTTACTTCAGTGGTTTACAGAAGTCAAGATATACATTTGTTTACACATCGTCTGGGTGGTGATAGAAGTCACAGATTTTAGCAGTTACTGATAAGAAAAGGTAAGTAGCTTTACATAGTTTTGCAGAACAAACTAGCAGTTCTATTTACAGAGGCCAAGGACAGTAGTTATTGTGAGAATGGGGCAGCCATTTCAACTTATTTAAAAAACAGTTTTGCATTTTATAAAATAGTTTTGCTCCGGTTCTGGCTCTAGGCCAGCACAATATCACAAGGCCATGAACTCATACAAATTTTAATAAGGAAAATATTCTGTGCCTTTGGATTCCCGCCATCTGGCTCTCAATCACAATGTGAACAGAAATTCCAAATAGCCTTTGGTTCTGAGTTGAGCATTCTCTAGGCCCACACCCTAATCCTGGACATTCTTGGGCAGGTTAGAACTGAAATGCCAGTATTGGTTTCTGTTTTGAATTTATATAATGTCTTTTCCTTGAAGAGGTGAATGACATTCATGGATACCAATTCCATTTTGACTAATACAATGATAGGCATAATCATGCCATTTCCTATAGCTGAAAAATCTTTACAGATCTTAAGGATTATAAGGCTGAATGGGGTCAGGGAGGTCCCTTGTTCAATCCCACTGAGCACTTCCCCAGCTCTAACAACGTGAGATAATTATGGTACATATTATTTCCCCATGAGCAAGTGCACAAACACTTTTATTAGATGAAGTCAATTTAAAGGCTTATTTAGAATAAAATATGCATGTGAATGAGGCTCAAGCTTTTATTTACTTGAGAACCCTTATATTACCTTTTATAAAAATATAGAAATGTAGACATATAAGGGAGCTAAGAAACAGTTCAGTATGATCTACTATTTTTCAAACGAGGATCTTGAAACCCCAAGAGGTAAAATGGCTTTCTCAGGGCGGCAGGGAGTACCAAGGACTGCCAAGGTAAGAATCCACATCTCCTCACCCCAAGCAAGTGTTCTTTACATACCACTCTACCAGAACATCATTGTTTAAACTAAAGCTACCAAGAATAATTAGCAAACTTTCCTTTCTCATAAAGTTCAATTCCATTGGCCATCAGCAGAAAGAAGTAGCTGTGGAGCTCCAAACTCCATTATACTAGGAAAATAAAACATAAATGGCATACTGTACCATTAATAATTTATAAACCAAAAATATTATAAACAAAGAATCTTTAAGAATTACTTGATGATTAGGAAATTTGTATGTATTGCCTTTTTACTGCATCCTCATTAGAGAAACATTACCTTGAGTGAATTGTTGGTTTGTTCTTGATGCTGAATTTCCAATTCCAATTGATTTAGAAGTTCATTTACTACAATGATCTCATCTCCTATTTTATTTAACATAGTCTTCAAGGTAGGTTCCTGGCCTGTTATAAACAAAAATAAGATAGAAAACAAAGTGTATAGCAAAGCACTAACTACAAGTACTCATGCAAACTCTTGGAACAGATAGCTGTACCTTAGAGTGGGGTGAAAAAAGGACTATTGCTTCAGCCCCTAGAAATTGACTCCATAGATAATCTTAAGACCTCATCTCTAAGAAGTATGGAAGAGAAAGAGGGGAGGGGCAAGGACAACGTCTCCCCTGAGTCTTTTGTTTCTGGCAAATTCCACCACATAAAACACTTAGAAATGCTTGATAAAACAAGCATCCTTCTACGTCCACAGCTAAACTTTCATGAAAAAAGGCAAATCTCCAAGGATTCCAACATGAAGAGGGAACTGTGGTTTCCCCCATACCAGGCAGTATGTGTGAGCTGGGGCTGCAGCAGCCCTCATTTGAGGAGTGTGGAGTGATGCTGGGCAGAAGGATATCAGTCTCAGCAATGGAACAGATTTGATTTTAATGGGGATAAGATCCATGGCTTTGGGGTTTAAAACACAGGATGCTAGAAGTGAGAATCTCAAACAAGGCTAGGAGCCTTCTTCATTAATACATTTTCAGTGAAAGTTGTAATCACTCACCAGAGAAATAAGCTTATGTTTTAGACGGGCCCTTCAAAGAGAGAGAGAGAAAAAGAGAGAGAGAGAAAGAGAGAGAGAGAGAGAGAGAGAGAGAGAGTGTGTGTGTGTGTGTGTGTGTGTGTGTCAGGAGTAGGAGTGAGGTTGAGGTGAAATTTTCTTTGGGACTTTGTAGTATGGATTTGGAATTCATATTTACAGTATGTACACTATTCAAAACCACCCCTAAGCAGAGAAGGTAAGATAAAAAGTCACAAGCTGCCGGGCGCGGTGGCTCAAGCCTGTAATCCCAGCACTTTGGGAGGCCGAGGCAGGTGGATCACGAGGTCAAGAGATCGAGACCATCCTGGTCAACATGGTGAAACCCCGTCTCTACTAAAAATACAAAAAATTAGCTGGGCATGGTGGCGTGTGCCTGTAATCCCAGCTACTCATGAGGCTGAGGCAGGAGAATTGCCTGAGCCCAGGAGGCGGAGGTTGCGGTGAGCCGAGATCGCGCCATTGCACTCCAGCCTGGGTAACAAGAGCGAAACTCCGTCTCAAAAAAAAAAAAAAAAAGTCACAAGCTGGTGATAACCCTGGCTACCCAGCAAAAACAAACCTAAGACATTTATAAAGTAGTATATTCCCATATTCCCAATCCCACCTCCTAGCACCTCTCTTAGCAGCTTTCAGAGACTGGAGATGAATGAGAAAATCAGAGTCCCTTCTTCCCTAGAATTAAAAGAAGTAGTTTAAAAAATAATGTAAGGGCAGATTAAAAGCAAAAAAGAAAAACTACCCTCATAATTGGATCTTTCCATCTGCATTTCCAGCAATCTAACAATGACATACACATAAGTAAACGCAGACTTTGGCAATATCTGTAGATTATGGAGGCAGTAAAATGGACCAGGCAAAGGTCTGAGGTCAGAGACACCAAGTACCTACCTCATTACTGCAAAGATAAGTGAAAGTACATATAAGATGGGCTTAGGACTGCATCTAGAACCTAATAGTAAATGTTAACTGTCATTCATCATCATCATGAGGAGTATATCATTCTGCCTGATAAAGCAATGCTACTTGCATTTGACACTCAGCTCATAATAACTAAAACAAAAAGTAAATGACAGTACTGATGTCTCTACTGTGAATAATTTCAGTAGAATTAGTTGAATACAGTATTTCTTCCCCATACACTCGTATCTCACCTTTTAATCACCTAAATTTTAGGGTGTTTTTCACCATGTTTTTTTAGACAGGGTCTTGCTCTGTCACCCAGGCTGGAGTTCAGTGGCACCATCACAGTTCACTGCAGCCTCAACCTCAAAGGCACAAGCAATCCTCCCACCTCAGCCTCCTCAGTAGCTGGGACTACAGGTAAGCGCCACCATGCCTGGCTAATTTTTTATTTTTTTGTAGAAACGGGGTCTTACTATGTTACCAGACTGGTCTCGAACTCCTAAGCTCAAGCGATCCGCCTGCCTCAGCCTCCCAAAGTGCTGCAATTACAGGCGATTACAAACCATAATACAAGTTCAACACAACCTTCCCAGCACATGGAATTCTGTCTGCCAGTAAACCTTTACCCTCCCAGATAAGATTAGGGAGTATATAATTTTGTAAACATTTTTGATTTGACAAGGATTATCTGCTTCTCTGAACTTCCACCGCATCATCCAATTTCAGCACATCAAAATATTTTCAGATATTTACAATCTCCAAGTTCATGGATGCTTAAATGATTTATCTTCAATTAATTCTTTCTCAGTGATATAGAGTAATAAGCTTCCTCAAAAGCAGGCTGTAAGATGGGTTATGAATTATTTTTACCTCTATGGATCTCTGCATCAGTTTTTTTTTACTTGCCTTTTAATACAGTGATGTGACACATAACAATGATTCAGTCAACAATGAACCACAAATATGACAGTAGCCCGTAAGATTATAACGGAGCTGAAATATTCCTATTGTCTTGTGATATCGGAGCCATCATAACATCATGGTTCAATGCATTATTCACATGCTTGTGGTGATGCTGGTGTAAACAAACGACTGTACTGCCAGTGTTATAAAAGTACAGCACATACAATTATGTATAGTACATAATAACTGTTAATAAACGGTTACTAGTTCATGTTGTTTACTATACTATACTTTTTAGAGTGTACTTCTTCTACTTATTAAAAAAAAAAAAGTTAACTGTAAACAGCTTCAGGCAGGTCCCTCAGGAGATATTCCAGAAGGCGTTGTTATCATAGGAGATGACTGTTCCATGTGTGTTACCGCCCCTGAACGCCTTACAGTGGAACAAGATGTGGACGTGGAAGACAGATGCTGATGATCTTGACCCTGAATAGACCTAGGCTAATATGTGTGTGTGTGTATGTGTGTGTGTGTGTGTGTATTCGTTTTTGACAAAAAAGCTTAAAAAGTAAAAAAAGAAAAAAGCTCATAAAGATATAAAATATATTTTTGTATACCTGTACAATGTATTTGTTTTGAGCTGTTATTAGAAAATAAAAAAGCTAAACCAAACTAAAAAGTTTAAGTAAAAAAGTTATAGTAAGCTAAGATTAATTTATTATTAAAGAAGTTTTTTTTAAAAATAAATTTAGTGTAGCCTAAGTGTATAGTACTTATAAAGTCTACAGTAGTATGCAGTGATGTCTTAGGCCTTCACATTCACTCACTGTCTCACCCAGAGCAACTTCCAGTTCTCCAAGGTCCATTCATGGTAAGCGGCCTATGCAGGTGTACCATTTTTAATCTTTCTTTTTCTTTTTTTGAGACAGAGTCTTGCTCTGTCACCAGGCTGGAGTGCAATGGTGCAATCTCAGCTCACTGCAACCTCTGCCTCCCAGATTCAAGTGATTCTCCTGCCTCAGCCTCCCAAGTGGCTGGGGTGCGCACCATCACACCTAGCTAACTTTTGTATTTTTAGTAGAGACGGGGTTTCACCATTTTAGCCAGGATGGTCTGGATCTTTTGACCTCAAGATCTGCCTGCCTCGGCCTCCCAAAGTGCTGGGATTACAGGCATGAGCCACCACACTCAGCCCATTTTTAATCTTTTACTGTATCTTCACTACGTTTAGAAACACAAATACTCATCACTGTGTTACACTTGCCTAAGGTATTCAGTACAGTCACATGCTATACAGGTTTGTTGCCTAGGAGCAATAGGCTATATAGCCTAGATATGAAGTAGGCTGTACCATCTAGGTCTGCGTACATTTACGTATACGCTGTGATGTGATGTTTGCACAATGACAAAATCATGTAATGCTTTTATCAGAACACATCTCCATCATTAAGCAACGCATGTATCTCTGCTTAGCTGTAGAATCATGGATGCCACCTAACCTTCAAATCTTACCAATATATGTTTCAGAAAAACATAAGTAAATAATTCTTATGAATATTCAGTTCATTGTTCAATGTACCTTATATTTTTAATATCCTTTGCAATATTCAAAATGTTGGCATTGGACAATTTAGAAAATTGTTATTCAAAATCTAAAATTACCTAAGATGCAGTCACTTAACCAGGCATAATCATTCAGAGTGGAATAATCAAAATGCATTTTGTATATACAAAGTCAGTGGAATCTGTTTTACTTACCACAGTTTCTTAATGACAAGGTTTTCTTAATATTGCCAATCTTTTCATTAACATGAGAGCATAACAGTTCCAGATCTGAGGAGGCCATCCTTTAAGCCTCTGAATAAAAAAATATAAACATATTCGTAAAAAGAAAAGCCACACAAATTTCTGTTCACTTTCGAAATCCAAGAATGGTCAATATCAAGTAAATCACATGTCCTTGAGGGTTAAGTACAAAAACTCAAGAGCAATTTCCTTCAGTTCTACAACATTGTTTCTAACCAAGGTACAGTACTGACTTGTCTTAGAGCCTTCCGCCATTGATGGATCCCAAACCAGGGTAAAGGGGCTAAGCCTGGGTCCTTTCCTTGGAAATACTGAAGCAAAATATATACGCGCTATTTATATATAAAGACAACACTGGTATTTTCTTTAAAAAAGCAAAATACACATTTTAAAGAAATGTGTCACACTGTCAAAGAAACAGGCCCAGGTAATCTTTTTTCCTATGTTGTGAGGGGTTGGAGCTTTACAGTTTGGGATTGGTAAGCAGGCAAAGAAATGGGAAAGAATCGGTTTCCCACCCATTCCGCGGGTGAGAGAGGAGGGGCGGGTCTAAGGCATCCACCGCAGCGCCCAGTCCCGCCCTCCCCTACGCCAGGCGAGGCCCGCGGCCCCCAGCCACCAAGCAGTGTCTCGGGCGTTTCCGAAGTCAGGGTCCCCAACACACAGACTCCAACCTCGAGTCAGTCCGGGAGCAAAAGGCTACTCGCCGCTGGGTCTCCAGCCGCGGACAACTGCAGTCTCGGCTGGAAGACCGGGATGGAGAGACGCAACTCCGGAAGCAAAATTCAAACCGCCCGCCCAGCCCTAGCGCAAAGCGGCGCGGGGCGGCGCAGGCGCACATCCGCACTTCCGAAGCACTGGCTCTGCGGCTGTTTGCGGTTTGCGTCATCCTGGGCCACAGCTGGGTGGGGAAGGAGGCGTGGCCGAGCCAGGGAAAGGCGGGGCGAGGGCGAAGGCGGGGCTTCCGGACGATAGGAGGACCTGGAGGTGCCTCTGCCGCGTTAAGCGGTCCGAGGAGATTTCAGTCAGCCATGCAGTCCTGACCGCCGCCTAGCCAGGTACCAGGCGTGGGGGTTTTAAGGTGGGGATCCAAGTCGTGGTCTTCGAAATTTGCTGCACCTTAGAGTCACCAGGGTCGGCCATTACAAGTCTCAGTGCCTAAGGCGCACCCCAAGTCGGTGGAATCTGACACTGGAGACGTGAGACCCAAGCCTTAATATTTTAAAAAATACCCCAAATAATGCCAAAGAACAGCCAAGTTTGTGTGGAGGAAACAGTGATCCTGTCCTCTGGGGCTTACAGCCTCTGTTAAGTGTTCCTGGACCAAACCGGGGGTCGGGCTGCTTATTCCCCTGGTCCAATAGGGAGACGCAGATGAACTGGGAAAGAAGAGAGTTTATTTCGGTAACCGGATACAGGGAAGAGCCCTGGAAAATATCGCCAGATCGACTGAAAATTACAAAGGTTTCCAGAGCTTATATATCTTCTCAGCTATATATGTCTACATGTAAGTGTGCATGTGTCTAAGGACACAAGGGATTAACTTATTTTAATCTGTAACCAAGATCAGTCCTGAAGACCTTACCCTGGAGCCTCAGTAAATTTACTTAATCTGGATGGGTCCAGGTGCCAGGGATGATGACCCTTATCTTGTCGCCTGCTAAATCATAGAGGTTTGGGCAGTTCCTTCAGACCCCCAGTAAGCTTGTTTGTGGAGGTCTGAGGAGTTTCTTCAGACCCCCAAGAAAAAGTTGTTTAATCCTGAACAGGTCCTGTTAAGGATTCCTTCCTTATCTTGTCATGCTTCAAGGCCCAGGAAAGGCCTGGGCAAAACTCTTGGTAGGCTTTTGTTACATTCCAGCCTTTGTATAAAGACACTGGCTCTTTCACCTGGTAATATTTAACTTAACCAGTGCTGAAACCGTGGTTACAGAGGCCTTCCTGTTCAGCTGTTAGTAAGACCTGGCCTGCCACCTAAGAGCAAATATAAATTTGAAATACGAAAAACAAAAGTTTAATTCTCGCTGTTGAAAAAGAGGGAAAAGCACTGAGGGCTGGAGTGTTAGCACCGCCAGGTTTCCTCCATCCCTTGACTCCACTGTGCTATTATTATGCACTGGAGCCTTCAGGCTGCCAGTCCTGCCCTCAGGTCTTTCTCCCAGGCAGCAGAAACTAGCATGAGGCTTGTGTAATAGGCTTAGCTGCCAGGGGAACCAACACCTTGAGAGCGTTGTGCTGGAAGCCACACCCAGTGGCTTCCATCTGCTTCTCACTGGTCACTCCTATCTGCAAGGGAGACTGAAAAAAATCTTTTGTAAAATTTGTAATCTGGATAGTTACATTGCATTCTCAAGACTTAAGTTTAGCCTAAAGTTGCCTTCATACATATTTTAAGTTCTGCCTAAAGATTTCTTTATACATCACAAACTATAACCTAAATGAAGATGTAAACAGACTACTCTTGTGCTAGCCACTGAGTTATGGCTAGTCAAAGGGGCCACCTGTTCAAACAGTGTTCAAATAAGGCAAACGCTGACTGTAACAATCTGGCTGTTGCTGTACCTCACTGCCTTTTCTGTACAACACTTTCCTTTTTCTGTCTATAAATCTTCTTCTACCATGTGGCTGTGCTGAAGTCTCTCTGGACCTACTCTGTCTGGGGAGGCTGCCCTGTTGGTGGAATCATTCTTTACTCAAACTCTGTTAAATTTAATTAGGCTAAAGTTTTTCTTTTAACAGACTATAGGAGTTCTATTTGTAAGGGAGAATGAGAGTATAGATACTGGGTAGGGAAGGAGTTCAGAGCACACCACCTCAAAACATGCCACTGTAGCATGTTGATTCTTTTGAGTGAAAAGCACTTAAAAAACAGCAGGTGCAAGAAAGGCACACTGGCCGTCCTTTTTCTTCCTGAAAGCAGAAGATGGAAGTCCCATGTAAGAAATGTCCTCACTACACCAAAATGAAAGAAACATTCTTATCACTAGAGGTGGGAAGTCAAAGACAAGAGACGTCTATACAAGCAAAACTTGTTGCGCTAACCGGTGCCTTCCTAGTCACTTCACCATGATTCATTGCCCGAATCTAAGCCCTTTTTTCTTGTTATTTTTTCGGTTTACTACTCTGTTCAATTTGGTATGTAAGCATGTAGCTCTAACTGCATTTTTGGGTCTTTATTTTTCTTGTGAGGATTCCCATGTACAAGTAAAAAAAAAATATTAATAGTTGTATGCTTTTCTCTTGTTAATCTGTATTACATCAGTTCCAGCCAGAGACCTTAGGAGCATGGAAGAAAATTTTATCCACCACTCTTTAATTTCCTCATGTTACACCATTACATGAACAATTCTAGATTATTAATTCCACATTTTTCATACCCAGCTGACTTTGAAAGAAAATATTTTATTTTTATTTTTTGTATTTCTACTTTGTCTTTTTCTTACAGCTAGATGTCAGGTTTAACTTCTGGATGTCCCCAAGTCAGAATTAACTAAAAGCTTTGTTATAGAATTAGGATTGAGGATCTCTTTAAGCAACAGGATCATATTTCTGGGCATCTTGGGAAACATTAATGTTTTGACCAATGACAAGTGACCAACTGATCCAATAAGTTTTGGACAGCTTCATAGATCTCAGATGCTTATAAGTCTTCATTCAGAAGAGGGAGGGCCTGTTGAAATAGATGGGGTGCATTCTGAGATGCCTCACTGATCAGATCTGACCCAAGGCAGATTATGTTTTTACATTTTCTATTAAACTACAGTCCTTTGGCTTGTTTTTAAAAGTCTTTTTCCAGGTGACAGTTTTAAAATCCATTGCATGTAGTTGTAATACTGTTCTCACTGGGATAACTTCTTAATTCTCACAAGTAGTCATAGCAGCTGAGACATATCATTCCAGAAAATCAAACTCTTTACTTTTTCAATGTCTCATGCCCTCAAATGATATGTAGTCCTGGTAGTGCTGGTTGGTTTATTTGTTTTTAACCAGAAAAGAGAGGAAGAAGAAAAAAGACTTACAATTTTCCTAGTGTTCTTTCTTTACTGCATTGAGTTTTTAACCAGTATACACTTTTTTAGTATTATAGTTAGAGTCCCAATTTCTGTGCCACCAGAACTGCCCCTAACAAAGGCCCAGTGCTATGTATTATGACTAGAGGCAGGAAAGGAAGGTACCCAACATGCAAAACTTCTCACTACTTCTCTCTCTCTCTTGCTTTCTGATGTTTAAAATGCCACCCATGCATGAGACAGGGAAAGATGGAAAAAAAAAAAGATGGAGACCTTCTCCTCGGTCATTAAATGGCTCTGTGAACTTGGAAAATGGATGGCTTTTCTTTTTCTTTCTTTCTTTTTTTTTTTTTTTTGAGATGGACTCTCGCTCTGTCACCCAGACTGGAATGCAGTGGTGTGATCACGGCCCACTACAAACCTCTACCTCCGGGTTTCAAGCAATTCTCCTGCCTCAGCCTCCTGAGTAGCTGGGATTACAGGCATGACCTACCACACCAGGTGAATTTTCATATTTTTAGTGGAGAGAGGGTTTCGCCATGTTGACCAGGCTGGTCTCCAACACCTGACCTCAGGCGATCTGCCCACTTCAGCCTCCCAAAGTGCTGGGATTATAGATGTGAGCCACAGTGCCCAGCCCAAAAGTGGATGGCATCTGAGGTCACTTCCAGCTCAAAGCACTAGGTTCTTTGTCTTGTGAAAAGTATCTCCTTCTTCCTGTGAACCTACTGAAAAAATATAAATATGATGCTGTAGAAGAGATGGACTTTTAAGTTTAAAAGAATTGAGACTGCATCACAGTTTTTCTTCCGCTACTTCTTAACAAGATGCACCCAAAATCACTTAAAAAACAAACAAAAAAAAACCTCTCCCCCAAAAATCACTAATAATTGCCAACAAGGAGAGAGAGATAGTGGAATGCAATAAACTTTAAAACTTTACATCAAGGAGGGAAAGGAAGGACTCTGGAGCACAGAGGATAAATATCCTGTCTCCTAATCATGCACCACCCTTGAAGTCATTTGAAAAGCCACATATCTGATAATTGAAAATCTGAAGATTAACAACGGGGAAAGAGCCTTTCTTTTTTGTCTCTTCATAGCCATGGCTCTAATTCAGTCTGGTTTCCCATTGGGAAAATTACTGAAAGTTTAGACATATTCTCTAAAGGGATGGGCCACTCCTTGAAATGTGAAAAAGTAGAACACTGGTTCAGGGCATCTAACAAAGAAAGAAAATAAAGAGGGAGGCAAGAAAAGAAGAAATCATGCAAAGATTGACAAACTGACCTGGGAGAATACATAATTAAAGGAATAGTAATAAACTGTTTATTTGTGTATATAAATTGTACATACATTAACTAATTTAAAATTAGACCCTATAAAGAAGAATAGCAGCAACAGAAAGAGATAAACAGAGATCATCACACTTAAAAACACAAAGTGTGGATCCAAACGACACTGTTCAATACACCGAAGTACAAATAGGAAGGAATAAAGACACCACTGAAAACTAAGTTTAAAGAAAAGCTTAAGATTTAAGATCATCATAATACATGCAGCTGAAAGAAAAGAAATTAAAGCAAATATAGAGAAGCCCACTGAATCAAAATATAGAAATGATTCAACATGAGGATAATTGGTGTCCTAAACGCGAAGAGTCCCAAAATATGAAACAGAAGAATTCAGAAGATGTAATAAAGGTGATTACCTAGAGGGAAAAAATTGAACCTCTAGATGGAGGCATACATTGCAGTCCAGGAAAATTTATTAAAACACACTTTACAACTAGAAACATACAACTTATAGAAAGAGTTCTTCAAGCATCCAGGCAAAAAGCAAATTGGCCACAACCGGGGGAAAAAATCAGGCTGGCCTCAGACAACTGCAGAGTAACATTCCCCCCAACTGCCAACTTTTTATTTTGAAAAATTTCAAACACACATAATGAGTAGAATACCAAATATTTATATACCTTTCACTTAAATTGGGAGTTTACAGAAGAACCAAGTGATGATGGAGTTCCTTGGGGCTTGCAATCTCAGGGAACTGTTATTACCTCTAAGCACAAAGATTGAAGGTCATGGGGTGTCTATGGAAGGGGTCACCTGACAAGAGCTGGGCCTTCAGCATCGGTTCAGAGAACACCCATGGGGAGAGTAAATACCTGTCTCCATTCTCCTCTCATCTATGGATCATTTGCTGATAACCCCCACACCAGTTGGCTGAACCCACCCTGAAGCCAGAAGATGAAAGAAACCCTAGGTCAGCACCCACATTCCCCTGCTGGGTCCAGGGCTGGATGGAAAACCATGGAGAGTGAATCTTAGGGGGGCAAATGGAAGACACCAGCACAAGCCTTGAGATTATGCTGTTCACATACTAACATACTTTGTGAATTTGATAAAGTATTTATCAGAACAGGTGTTAGTATTTTATATATAAATATTTGAAATCAAGTACTATAATAAGTTATATAAGCATATCTTTTATTTGATAGGGATTTTCCCCAATGCATTTAAAGTACTTTAAAGGATATTTTTATATTGGTTATTTACAAAGTGGGCAGTTGTCCAGTTTCTGAGATAGAAAAATATAAGGCTTGCCAAATTTCCTAGAATCAATTAGTTGTGGAAGCAACTGCCTATCTGACCTCTGATAATAGGCCACAGGAAAGCCAGACAGAACCATTTTCATGTCATTTACATCAATGTTTTCATTTTGCCAGATATGTTTTAATCTCCCAGGCCAAGGCATTTTTCTTGCTTATCTTCTAAAAGTTATTTTCTTTAAGGAAAATTTAGCTATAAAAAGGAAAACACATAATTTCATTTTATTAACTGCCATTATGATGGGCAAGTCTATATAATGAGGCAGTTTTGGTGTTTTAGAAGTCCTCTATGTGGATGCAACCAGGCATATGGAGGTATACATTCTATGTATAAACTTTAAGATTAAATTAATAACTCACGTACTTCAGAGATGGTTATAATAAATTGCAAGATTGTAGATCTTTGCATCAAAGAGTTACCATACATCATTAGAGCACTCCCAAACCTCCAAGTAAACGTCCCAGATAATTTAGAAAATGGTTAAATTATGATAGGAATCTTTCATGTGACATTGCCACACTGTTATAGTAGAGGGGACAAACCCAGGCACAGTGGATTCACCTTCCCAGATACAATTGGTGTTTGAGAAAAACTGAGGCTGCCCAGAAGGAGTCCAAGGTCTAGTAGAGGAGCTCCCCCAGACCCTGGCTACATTCAGGGGAGCAGCATGTGTGCCCCTACCATGATGGTGGGTGGAACAGCAAAACTCAGTCCTCTGTTCACCATGTAGTGGTCACATGCACATTCTGCAGTTGAGTGGATTGGGTCTCTCTCACCAGATTCGATGAAGCTGTTCCAAGGACCTTCACTGGCCCAGATTTTCACCCCTGCCTTTTTCCCTCGTACCCTGCTGCCAAACCATTCACTTGACCTCAGTGCCTGGGCTGGAACATATTATCCAGTTGATCACCTCACCCCCCAGCCCCACTCCACACAATGCATTTCTTAACTGTCTGTCCTCGTGACCTCTCCACCATCCATTATACTCCAGTCACTGGTCTTGCCCAGCTCTTGGTCTTGCCGCTTCTACTCTAGCCTGCCTCACTGCCATCCACAGCAGCTTCAGAATTAGCAACAGCATCCTTTGTCATAACAGTGAACTCACTTGTCATTGCTTATGAAAGTAGAATCAGATGGTAATGCAGTTGACAGGAGTGCAGCCATACCTGACATGACAGTCAGGAGTGAGCTCCAGGATGATGGCAACTCCGTTTCTGAAACACTGATGTGGAAGCCCAGGCCCCTTTGCGTGAGGCACACATCCCCTCTTCATTTGGCCCCTGCCTGCCTTGGCAGCTTTATCTTTCAGCACCTCCTGTGTGGACGGACGTTTATCTCACAGCAACAGCTGCCTGTAGGGTTGCTCCTGTGACCCTGTGTGTGACCTGCATTCCTCCCTGTGCCATCAGGACACACACAAGCCTTGCCAGCCCACCCATGTTGTCTGACACCACTAAATCTTTGGTCATGATGTTCTTCTCTCTACACCCCTCATTATTCTCTATCTCAGTCACCCATTCATTTTTCAAAATTTAGCAAACGAATCCCTTCCCATCAGAAGCCTTCCTTAATCCCTTCTTGGATTAGGTTTCCCTGCAAGTTTTCTTCTGATTTAGTTGGTCTAGGGGTGGAGTTCAGAATCAGAAATTTAAAAAACTGCTTGGATAATTCTAATGTGCATCAGAGTTGAAAGCCATTGAGGAAAAAAGAAAAGGAAGATGGAAGGAAACAAGACAGTAGGGCTTTCCAGGTTCCTACCTGAGGCTCACTGGTCTTCTACTGAAATGTAACACGAAGAGGGGTGTCAGGAGTTGAATTGTGCTCACCCCCATTCGTATTTCAAAGTCCTAACCCCCAGTACCTCAGAATATGATCTTATTTGGAGATAGGGTCTTTACAGAGGTAATCAAGTTAAGACGAGGTCATTAGCTGGGCCCTAAACCAATATGACTATTTTCTTTATAAAAAAGAGGAAATTTGGACATGAAGACATGCACAGGATGATTATGTGAACAAGCAGGGAGAAGATGGGCATCTGCAAGCCAAGGAGAGTGGCTAGGAGCAGATCTTCCCCTCACAGGTAACAAACCCTGCCAATACCTTGATTTCAGACTTCTCACCTCCAGCACTATGGACAATCAATTTATGTTGTGTAAGAAGCCACTCAGTTTGTGGTACTTTATTATGGCAACCTGAACAAATCAATACAGAGAGTAACAATAAGAAAAAGCCCTACCCGCAGATTGCTTGAGCTCAGGATTTTGATACCAGCCTGGACAAAACAGTGAAACAGGTCTCTACAAAAAATACAAAAAGTAGTCAGGTATGGTGGCATGCACCATAGTCCCAGCTACTTGGGAGCCTGAGATGGGAGGATCACTTGAGGCCAGAGGATGAGGCTGCAGTGAGCCACGATTGTGCCACTCCAGCCATGTTGACAGAACAAGACCCTGTATAAAAATTAAAAAAAAAGGAAAAGAAAAAGAAAACAGAAAACACTCCACCATCCCTGGATTCACTTGTATTTCTGATGAGCTACGCCTGGACTCTTTCTGGTGATGGATTGAACTTATCTATGCATTGGGGAAATACTGTTTTTTAAAATCATGAGCTCTAAAGGAAAGGTTTTTGTGGGAAATACACTCTGTTTAAGAAATGGATGAGAATGTTCACTTAATGTTTGTGTAGATCCTTAAGAATTAAGCTTTGAATGGAGAAACTGTTTCTTGATGATGCCAAAAGGATGAGGTATTACCATAAAGCAGAACACCGTGTCTCTGTATGGTATCAATAAAGCTCTAACCAAATCATAGCTTACTTAGAATGCTGAATATTTGTCATCTTCTTCAAACTTGAGAAAATAGATTTTGGCTTTAATAGAATTCTAGCTAGAAGACTTACTTGCCACATGGCCACAAGGTGGCAGAGCAGCAACATTCTTCTGGAAGCCACCAGCAAAGCAAAACACAGCCAGAACTATGTGGCCACACGTAGGAAGTAAGCAGTGCTCTTAAAGTTTATGAAGCTGAACTTTCTCCCTCTTTTTAAGCACTCCATTTTTCTGAATGTCACAAAAAAACTTTCAGTGCCACAAAAGAAATAGCACTCAAACATAACTTTTCTCAGCAAGGCAAACTTACTTCTATAGAAGGATGTATCTCATGGATGGAGCAATGTTGAGAGCACACCCAAACAAGGGAGGGGAAGGTTTTTTTTAATCCCTGTTGCAGGTAGCCCCTGCTGCTGTGTCATTTCCCCTATTGGCTATGTTTGGACAGCACAGTCTAAGCTAATTCCTATTGGCTCTATTAAAGAGAGCAGGGGTATGAGCCAGAATGGCGGGGTGAGCAGATTACAGAGCAGGTGACTAAAAGTAACTCAGGTCAGAGCAGGTGACCAGGAGTGACTCAGGACTAAGCAGATGAACAGGGGAATAGATGTGAACTACTGATTAGAACTGGCAGGAAGGTTGTTACTGAAACTAGGGGCAAGGAGATGAAGAGAACGAGGAAGTTAAACTTTAAAATGGAGAACAAAGAACTGAACATACTGACACACTGATTCTTTGAAGGGAAACTTAGAACTTGCTGTATTTAACAGTTTCTCCCTTTTGAATTTTACAGTTTTTTCTCTTCAAACTTCCTTAACATGTCCTGGCTTAGTTGTTCTGCTTGATTCTCTAAAAGAAGAAGTTTCTCTGATAAGGTGGAGGAGAGTTAAGGGAGGTTTTAGTAAGTACTGTTTTTATAAGCCTCTGAATTAGCCTTTGGATACAAGGGATAATACAACACTTAACAAGAATAAACACATTTAGTATAATAGTAAGGGAAGTGAGTATTCAGGACATAAGTCCTTTTTACTTGCTAAACCATTTTTCCATTAAATTAGTGAAGGGATCATTTATTTTAGAATTTTTAGCTAGCTCATTGGATAAAGTAGCAAGGCCTTGTAGCGCTTTCTATATGGTTTTATTGGGGGGAGTGTTATTAGGGATAAAAGTACAACATTGAGTTTTAATTATGATACAAACTCTACTTTTTTTTGCTAGTTTATATTTAATGCCACCTTATTTTCCTAAGCCATTTGATGAGTGGGCCTTAACTGTTTACCTATACCTTTAATAGCATCTTTAGTATAATTAACAAATTGTTGCTAATTATAGTGATGTAATTTATTTAATTTACATTTTTATTTATAGTCAGCTACCAGAACAATACGGACTCAAACCCTGCAGCTATTTGATTACAGGCCTTAAATTTATTTGGTACTCTTCATGGAACTTTGATAGTATTTATATAAACATGAGGGTTAAAGGACTCAAGAGGGCCTTTTTTGTTTTATGGTTCTTTGCTTTTATCTTTCTTGATTGATGAAATGCCAGGGTGAAAGGGATGGCCAATTGGACTAGAGCACAAGTTCCACTCTAGTTACTTGGCAGAGTACCCAGCAATAGTCCCCCACAATTCCACCACACATCTGCTTGGGAATGAACAGGGGCACACTGATTGGTAAGCTCTTGAAAAGGCTTGGTTTCACTGCACCCTGTTAAGTCTCCAAGAAATGCTAACTTTTCCTCCTGCTGTGAAAGGCAGGAGGTGAAGTTAACATTAGGTCGTGGAGGCAGGATGGCCCTCGAGGGCTGACCTGCAGGGCTCTTGACCTCAAGGAACAACAGTGAAAGAGTCTTACATGACTCATCACCCCAGACTGTGGGGTTCTGGAAAAGAGCTACCATACAGCTTATGCCCAGTCTGTGAGAGGGCCACTCAAGTGGAAAGGGGACAGTTTGGGTCTCTGGCGTGCCTGTTGCACAAGCATAACAGTTACTTTTGTTTAGTGTGCAAACAGAATATTTAATCTATTTCAGGCAAGCACTTGCATCCTAATACCTGTTTTAATTGCTATAGTTTGTTTTAAATATTTAACCTCTACAACAGTTACTTTGGTTTTATTATTGGGCATATAACAAGAAAAGGTTTGGTTAGCAGAGAGCTTAGGAGAGGGAGAATTGGGTGCAGAGGTTGGGGAGCAATGAAGTACATTTTAAACTATCCTATGGGGTCCCTTCCTGAGACTTCTGTTCCTACACTATAGAAACAGCTTAATAAAGGGGAAGAACTCTGGGAAGCAGAGATGGTAATCTCTACTGGATTACATTGGTTCAGCTGACAGTTGGGAGGGATAACTTCTTTAGTAAAATGAATATACAGTTTTTTTTTTTTTTTTT